GGAAGTTTGCCCTGCGGGTCTCGGGGCTCAGCAGCACCGAGGACAGTGCTGTCCAGAGCACATCTACAACTGTTCAGGATCTATTCCGTTCTGGATGTATTCTTTCTCTAATGCAACAGAGCTGGGGCTTTGCTTCTGAGAGGCTCTTTGATGCAGAGAATTCAAAACTGGTTTGCCCAGGCTCCTAGTTCTACAGGTGGGAGGAAGTGAAAGCAGGGGCCCAGGGCCTGACTGCCAGCAGAGCCAACTCACAGCAAAATCCAGTCCTTGGCTTCTCACGCTGTCCTAACAAGGGTGTCAGATTAATCCCCACACTGAGCATAAGCTGGAACCTCACACTCTGTGTAAACAGCGACCCACCAATGGAATCCCGGGGACATTTTTTTCAGTGACTCCTAAAATTCATTGCTCCTTCATCCCTGAAAGGTCACTCAAGATCTAGCCCCACCTCTTGGCCCAGTTTGTAGGAGATGAGTGCTTGTCAGGGAAGGTGTCATGTTCTCCCTCACCCCAGGGCTTCTGTCTTTTCTCTCTCTCTCTCTCTCTCTCTCTCTCTCTCTCTCTCTCTCTCTCTCTCTTTCTCTCTCTCTTTCTCTCTCTCCCCTCTCCTCTCTTTTCCCTCTTCTCTCCCCCTCTCTCCCCTCTCTCTTCCTTCTCTCTCTCTTCTCTCTCTCTCCCTCCCTCCCCTCTCCTCTCTCTTCCTCTCTTTCTCTCTCTCTCTCTCTCTCATTTTTTCGAGCTAGGGTTGCTCTGCATATCCCTGGTTGTCCTGGAACTTACTCTATAGACCAGGCTGACCTCAAACTAAGAGATCCACCTGCCTCCGCCTCCAAGTGCTGGGATTACAGCCGTGCACCACCAACTGCCCGGCTACACTGCATCTCTATCCAAAACAACTATGCATGTTTCCTCCTCTACACCATTCCTAACCTACTTTGCTCAGTCTTCGTTTTATTTGCCACCTCCTCCCGGAAACCCTCTGTCATCTTACAGTTTTGTGACGATGTCATACCACCCTGTTCTTCCGCTGCCATAGGACCTAAGATGACGCCTTACATGTGATTGCCTAGCATCTTTTCTGCCTCCCCAATCAGACCATGAGGTCATGTGGGCCTAGACCTATCTTTAGTGTACCTAGCAGAGTGCTCAGGTATAAATAACTGATCAAATGAATGTTAGAAATCAGGGTAGCACAGTTTTGGTTATGGCAGGCCTGCAACAGACACTGCAGACAGATCAAGAAGTTGTACCATCTGCCTTGGTATTAATTATAATCTGTTCATCCACAGTCAGTTTTATGTACACAGATTTTTTTTTTAATGTAAGCGTAGATATAGGGGTGGCATCTGATGGGTCTGGGCTGCACATCTGTCTCTATGCCCCCATTGAGGTTTCTGCAGTGCAAGATCCAGGGGTGGAGAATAAATAGACATGAAAAGAGTCTCGATTGCAGAGGAGCACCAGACCTGCATCCAAAGACAGCACTCAAGGAGATTCCAAAAGCTATTCTGAATATTGACCAAAGCAGAGGGAGAGGGGAGAGGTTTTCCTTTTCTTTGTCCTTGACCTCAGAAGAACTACAAATAACGCAGCTTCTATCACTTTGACATCACACACACATACACACCACCCCTACACCAGCAGCCTCTGATACCATCACCCCCCCCCAATGTCATAATCCCCTGACACCATCAACCTCCAACACCCATCCCGACACCATCACAGCCCCTCACACCACTATCCCATTACACACACATACCATCACCCCCACACATACCACCACCACTGCACAGACCATCACCCCTCAGCATCATTGTCCCCAGCATCACACCATCACCCCTCCCCCGAATACACATCATCACCCACATACACACCGTCATCCTGGCTCTCAATGTGGGTCCAGAGATCAGCAGCAACTACACAACCTGAGGACTTGCTGGAAATGCAAACGTTGGCCCCACCCTAGACACACTGAACCAGAAGCTCTGGGGGTGGGGGCTGGCCACCTGTGTTTTCTCTAGCCCTCCAGGTGACTTTGCTGCATGCCCAAAGTTGACAGCCACTGCCTGCCTCTTGATCTTTACAGCACTGGCTGCCAGCTGAGTTCTCTTGTTTATTTATTTAAACTCTCAGTTCTTTTCCTTCCTCCTGGAAGGGTTTCAGTTGTTTGATAGCAGATACTTATATGCCCTCTGCAACGTCCAGCTTCTCATAAATATCCATCGAGTCAAGGAACAATTCTTCCTACATCTGCTTGTTTTCCCCAGTTTCCCAGGAGCTGGTCCTCAAACAGCCAGGAAGGAGTTAAACCTCCTTGTGAGTCACCTAGCCAAGCTCTGGTTATCTCAATGAAAGACTCGGTTCCAAGGACAGGAGATGAGACACAAAGCTTGACACAACTTTCTGTCCCCTTTGCCTAAATCCCAGAGGCCGGAATGCTCACTCAAAACCCCTCTGAGCCCACCTTTCTAGACCTCGTGTGCTTGATAGGATTCCATAGTGGGGACATCTCAGGCTCACGGTCAGGCCCATGAATTCTGTGGACCTGTCTTCTCACTGTGGTTCTCTCATCCTCCAAGTTATCAGACACCCAGGAAGTCATAGCCAGAGAGGTGGGAACCAGCTGCCGGGAGGATACACACAATCGGATTGGAAGGAACCAGAGCAGCCAGGTTTGACAGCCTCTCCTTAGTAGGTTGAAGGAGCAGGAAAGGTGGGTCTTAGGAGAAAGCCAAAGAAATGGTCATCTCTAAAAGAAAGGTAAGAGCCGCTGCTAACTCCAAGAAGCACTCCCTTTGTCCCAGGTGATCTCACCAAACACCTAAACTATCTAAACCAGGATGCTCTTTTCTTCACAAAAAGAAGCTGAGGCTCAGAGAATGAATCCGCCAAGGTTAAACAGTGACCCTTGACCCCCAACGCAGCTCTGATCCCAAAGTCCTTTTTTGTTGTTGTTGTTTATTTTTGTTGTTGTTTTACTAAGCAGCCCTGGATGGTCTGGAACTCGCTATGTAAACCAGGCTGGCACTGGACTCCTGGAGATCCACCTGCCTCTGGCCCCTGAATGCTGGGATTAAAAATAAGTACTAGACTAGGGAGGCAGCTCTGCAGTTGAGAACGCTTGGTGTTCTTCCAGAAGTCTCTGCACCCACATAGCAGCTCACAATCCTCTCTCATTCCAGGCTCAGGAGACCAGATGTTCTCTCCAGTCCTCCAGGGGCACCAGTCACGCAAGTGAATTTCCTCCTTCCAGATTGTTCTCAGTGCACAAACATGAAAGCAAAACATAAACACATAAAATTGACGAATCAAGGTTGTGGTGGTTTGAAAGATGACCCCCAAAGGGAGTGGCGCTATTAGGAGGTGTGGCCTTGGAGGAAGTGTGGGGGTGGGCTTTGAGATCTTTCGAGGACGGTGCGACTGTCAGTTGACTTCCTGCTGCCTTCTGGCCAAGATTTAGCCAACATCAGGTCTGCCCGCATGTCACCATGCTCCCCATCATGATGATAATGAACTGAACCTCTGAAACGGGAAGACGCCACCTCGATTGAATATAAGAGTTGTCATGATCATGGTGTCTCTTCACAGAAATAGAAACCCAAACCAAGACAGAAGTTGCTACCAGGGACTAGGGTTCTGCTGTGATGGGCCCTGACGATGCTTTTATTTAGAGTAATGTGGACTTTGGTACTTTGGTTAGGACAGCGGTGAAATGCTTTAAGCACTATTTAATGGGGCATACTAGAAGGCGTATGGAAGACAACAGTGCTGAGGATGGTCCGAAATGTCAGGGGCTGGCTCAAGAGCTGTCAGAGAAGAATTTTAATATGTCACCTAAAAATCAATCTTGTGATATTTTGGTGAAGGATGAGGCTGCTTTTTGCCCTTGTCTGAAAATCTGCCTAAGGCTAAAGTGAAGAGTTTTATATTAATTCTGTTGGTGGAAGAAATCTCAAAACAGGCTAGTATAGACTCTGCCGTGTGGATATTAGAGTAACTCTTATGAAGACATATAATGAAAAGGAGCAAGCTGAACAAGGAAAAATATTTGAGGAGAAAAAAAAAGCAGCAGAAAGTGAAATGGAGCTAAATCCTTAAATGGATTAAGAAATGGAATAAAGAGAGTGGTGTCCTCCGGGCAAGATCCCACCCAGCTAGGTTTCCAATTTATGAAAAGGAACTAGAGCTTGGTGTGGTGGGGCACACACACCTTTAATCCCTGCACTGGAAAGGCAGAGGCTGGTGGATCTCTGAGTTTGAGGCCAACCTGGTCTATGGAGCAAGTTTCAGAACAGCCAAGCTTAGGCAGAAAAGGACAGAAAGCTGGTGAAGATGTAAATGAACAAGAGGGCATGGTCCAGCCCCAGCAAGTAGCAGAACTTGGCAGCTTTGACCATGTGGTTCTGGCTTTAGAGTTAAGGATAGAAGAAAGAAGGTACAGAATAAAGCCACTAACGCCAGATGTGTGTCAGAGGTGTCCCTAAATGGAAGCCAAGTAGAGAAGCCATTGCATGAAGCTGGGACATTGAAGCCTGGATTGCCTTGGAGCCTAAGATGTTGGAGATGCCAGAGCCATGGGATACCTGCCTAAGAGAGCTGCTAACAAGGAGTGGAACTGGCCCAAGAGAAGTGTGTTGCTTGCAGTCAACAAAGCTAAATGCCATTCAAGAGATGTGGAGAGCGCTTTGACATCAGACATGGAGGTGCAGAGTTTGGAATTTTCCCTGCCAGTTTTTGGCCTTGCTTTGGTCCAGCATTTCCTCAATGTGCTCCCTTTCCTGTGTTCTGAAACAGTAATGTGTATCCTGTGTCATTATATGTTGGAAGTATGTGATCTGCTTTTTTATTTTGATTTTTACAGGTGATTTCAGCTAAGAGATTGCCATGAGTCTCAGTAGAGACTTTGGATTTTTAAGCAAGTTTGGGACTGTTATAGACTATGGGAACTTTTCAAGTTGGACTGAATTCGGTTTTTTTTTTTTTTTTTTTTTTTTTGCATTGTGATATGGCTATAACCCTTTGGGGGCCAGGGAATGAAATATGTAGTTTGAAAGAAAATGCCCCCCCCCAAGGAAAAGGCACTATTTAGGAGGTGTGGCCCTCGTGGAGGAAGTGTGTCAATGTGGGAGTGAGCTCTGAGGTCCTTTTCTCAAGCTTCACTCAGTGTGACAGGACTTTCTGTTGCCTGCAAGATGTAGGACCCTTAGCTGCTCCCAGCACCCACCTGCCTATCTGCCAGATGATGATAATGGACTGACCTGTGAAACTGTAAGAGGCTCCTTGTAGTCACAGCTGCCTTCTCTACCTGCCCACCTGACATGAGCCCATGGCACCGCTCTTACTGGATTTGCCCTTGGACTTCTTGGGACTTGGTTCACACTAAGCCAGGCTGTGGAGCACCCTCTTAGCCTTCCCCGCATCTCCTGCCAACGTAGCAACTACTTGTGGACCATCATGTTGGTTTCCATGGTTTCTACTTCAGCAACCAGCGCCTACCAGGCCCTCCATGCTAACCATCAAGCCATTCCTTCCCACGGCGAAGAGAAAGCAGCTTTCCAGTTGCTCTACCCAAAGGATGGAGAGATAAGGAATTCCAAGTGGCTTCAAGAACAGCTTCCCTGGTGTGTTTCCTCTGCCTTCCACATTCCCACTGTTCCTGACTCACACCAGCTGACAGCCAGAGGAGGCTACTGCAGAAGGTGACAGACAACGTCCACTGACCCTAGTAGGAGGCTGAAAACATGGTCCCCACCTGCAGCCCCTCCAGCAAGCCCCAGCTGCCTACAAAGGCCAACACGCCCTTCCTCTGCCTCTCTGCTGCCCGCTCCTATAACCCCTCCCATCTGAAGTCCACTCTCACCTCAGCCCTAAGGCTTCACCACCCGGAGCGTGTTCCCAGATCCAAGGTAAAAATGAGGTGCCTCCTGCCAAAGTGAAATAAAAAAAAAAAAATGACGTGTAATAGGATTGCATAAATCCACAGTTACAAACGTCACTTGTGTGAAGAAATAACAAAAGACAGAGTAGGACCTACCAACGGTGATGGCACTGCCCTATGGGGCTGTCCCTATGCTTCCTGAGATCTCCTTAGACCTAAAAAGAAACAGAAATGCTGAAAGGAGTTTGGGAATGTAGGCTAGGGGTAGCCATCCTCCCAACGCGGGGCATTTAAAGCTTCAGTAAGCTCCAACAACGCCACTGTGCATCCCTGAGCTGAAGATTCAGGAGTGGGAGGAAGTATGGCAGAGGGGTAGCACAGAGAAAAGGGGGGACCCTGGACAGAAGGGAAGGGTGGAAGCACCTGCCAGTGCCAATCAGGAGTCAGCCCTGCCATTGGGGAGCTGGAGCTCCCAGCTGCTGTCCAGCTGAACCACGCCTGGATGCTCCTGGTTGTGGACACTGGATCCACAACCTATGACTCACACATCAGTAAACAGGCGACACGGGCAGGAAGGAAAATCATCTAGGGTAAAAAAAAAAAAAAAAAAAAAAAAACTCTGGGGGCAAAAACCAAGAGTGTGCACTCAGAGTACACTCAGGGCAGATGAGTAAACGGCATGACGGCCCAAGCCACTGCCCCAAATGCTGTTAACCTTTACCCCTGTGGCAGAGGGAAGGACCAAGCTCTCTGGACCACACTGCCTTCTCCGGGAGTCACCATGCCTCGCTGGTGCCCACCCCCTGTTTAAACACCAGAACCAACTAAGAGGCCGTGGCACCCCTCACAGCCTGGGCCAGATGCAGTCAGAGCATGCCTGTCGTCTAGGTAACCCCTTGCTGGGGGCACAGATCCTGTGACTCCCACGCATGATTCTGATTGCAACAGTAGGTTAAAGTTCAGAAGCTGCCTGCTGAAAACCGCCCAGGGATCAGCTGTACCTTCTCTGGTTGATAACCCAAATGAGGAGAGAAGAGTAGACAGTGCTTCTGAGCTGTCCTTCCTCAGCCTGGCTCTCAAAGGCCCCTAACCAGTCTTTCCAGTACTGATCCCCAATTACAACTGGATTAACAGAATCTTATGATTTTTTTTTCCAATATAAACAATGATCCCAGGCTCCATTGTCCAGCACGTTACTTCGCCATCTAACTTACTTTTAGTAAAATAAATCTGAGGGTTTTCAAAAGAAACTCCCAAACTTCTCTCAGAATCAGAGTTCGGCATCCACCAAGCAAACCCAAGGCATGTTTACTGAATCATCCCTGAACCCCGGGGCTGCCCAGGAGGAAATGGATTGTGATCTCTTCCTAGGGGACCTGAGCTTTGTCCTCTAGTCAAAACACTCAGGGGACCCAGAATCTAACTAAGATTCCCATAGCAGGGGCCGTCAAAACACTCAGAGGGAGAGTTTGTGGCCAGATTTCGCTGGTTTAGAGGAAAAAGGAACAGGACACCCCTCCCCCCAAATGAAACCCATGCTTTAATTAGAGCTAGCAATGGGCAAAACTCAACAAAGCAAACAGAAATACCTTTGTTGTTGGCTCCAAAACACCTCAGTGTGGTCACACTTTGGGTGGAACAAGACGAGAAGCTCAGATTCCTTAGAGGAGGGCGTAAAGAATGGAGCAATTGCTGTGGGCTGTGGACTGGGGCCGGGATCGTGGGACACAAAACTTGAGTAGGATTTGACTCAGAACGGAAAACAGCTGCGGTTCCTCAGGTCTTCACATAGCCTCTCTACTCCGTCTCCTTCCCCACAGTCCCCTGGGCAATCTCACCCACAGCTTCAGCTGCTACCTGCAAAGTGTGACTCACAGCCTTATCTCCAGCCTCCTTCTCCTCAGCTTCCAGGGCTGCAGTAATTTTCTCCACAGTTCTTCCCTTCTCACCCCCTATGGTGATGCCCAAACCAGACAGCCGGGGCTTTGCCCTGACTCCCTCCCTCTGAGCTCCATTCAAGACCAGCTGGTTATATCACCTGCCCGTTTCTGCACCTCCAGCCTCCATTCCACCGTAGACTCGGGCCCTCACTATTCCTGTTACCTACCTTTTCCCAGTCTCCCCGACTCTGGCTTCCACGCCCGCTGAGCTTTCATGGCAGGTGGGTCTTGTTAGAACAGCCTTCTGCAGAAGGGATCTTGGTTGGCGAATACACACGAAACCCTCTACCTCAGATCCTCAAACAAAAAGGCCTAGGCTTTGCCCCAAGGCCCTGAGCTTTTGTGCGGGTAGCATTTTAAAATGATGATTTTTTTTTAAGAGCTCGTCATGTTCTTAGCGAGACTAGTGGAAAGAAGAAGCTGCCAGATGGTGTCTGTTGTGAGTGACACCCGTGGCTCTTCACAGGAGACTATGGTCCTTCCAGCCTTCAGCTTTGCAAGTTCCAATCAGGTTTGGACCACTTGAGAGCAACTGAAAGGAAGGCTCCCTCACTCTCCTCTGTGTTTAGACTTCTGACCTCCTGGTGAGACCGATACTCCACCTGCGGCAACTTCGTTCCTCCGGGGATATTTGACAATGTGTATTGACATTTTTCATAGATGTGAGCTGGTGGGGGAAGGGCTGCTAATGCTAGAACTTGGTGAGTGGAGCTCAGAAAGGTTGTGGCCATCCAAAAGTGCAGAGAGCAGGACTCATCACGCAGCACTGGACAGTCCAAAATGTCAAGTGCTGAGCACCCTAAGCTCAGGTGCTGCCCAGATGCACCCCAACAATTCTCCTTCCAAGGAAGGAGAGGAAGCAGCCACTACCTCCAGTGCCAGGCTCCCATGTGGTACTGGTTTTTAAGACACGAAGGGATCGTGTAGAACAGCTAAGACTTGCCCCCTTGCAGCAGTGTTAGAGCCCCTGCAGAGAGGGCCTGAGAAGCCACATGAGATATCTACTAAGCAGGTGTGGAATAGCACCATCCTGAGCCTGCAAGTGTGTGTGCTGTGGATGGCAGAGCTGGGGAGGTGAGACTTGGTACCCAAGGCCTGTGGAGCCCAGAAGATCATGAGTGAACTCCAGATGCCAGACTGTGAGCTATGGGATTTTATTTACACTACTAATTTGTGGCAGACATAAACGTAACAGGCAAAACACTGATACACGTAAAAATAAATCTTATTTTTAAAGTTGTACTATATTTTGCATTATGATGTTAACATGAGATCTTGGAGACAAGGAAAGAAAGGAAAGGTTATGGTTTAATGGTGATGTGTTTGTGATATGGGATGTCCTTCTATATACGTGTTGCTTGTATTGGCCAATGAATAAAGCTAGTTTGGCCTATGACAGGGCAGAATGTAGCCAGGCTGGAAGAAATATATATATAGAGAGAGAATAGTATTCAGGAATGATGTAGGATATCCCTCTGTATGCTGTGATTACCATTAATGAATAAAGAACTGCTTTAAGCCTATAGCAGAGCTAGGCAGGGAGGACTAGACTGAATGCTGGGAGAAAGAAGGGCGGAGTCAGAAAGAAGCCATGGAACTGCCAGAGACAGACACTGGGAACTTTACCGGGTAAGCCACAGCCATGTGGTGATACAGATTAATGGAGATAGGTTAAATTAATATGTAAGGGTTAGCCAATAAGAAGCTAGAGCTAATGGGCCAAGCAGTGATTTAATTAATATGGTTTCTGTGTGATTATTTTGGGGCTAAGCAGTTGGGACTAACTAACGGCTTCCCTCCAACACAGGAAGACCTTTATGTAGCTGCCAAACAAGACAAACACCCAAAACATTTCCAGTAAGTCACAGCCTTGTGATGATACACAGATTAATAGAAATCGGTTGATTTAAGATTTAAGAACTAGCTAGAAATATGCATGAACCATTGGCCAAACAATGTTGGAATTAATATAGTTTCTATATGATTGTTAGGGTCTGGGCATCCTGGAAATGAAAGAGTAGCCTTCGCCTACATGTTTGTGTCAAGTTCACAGGAGTAGAGCACACGTGGGTTTTTTATTGTAAACTTGACACGATTTAAGAGTCACCAGGGGCTGGGCAGTAGTGGTACCTGCCTTTAATCCCAGCATTCAGGAGGCAGAGGCGGGTGGGTCATTATGAGTTCAAGGCCAGCCTGGTCTGTAGAGAGGGTTCCAGGACAGCCAGAGCTGCAGAAAGAAACTGTCTCGAGAAAAGGAAGAGGAAGAAGAGGGAGGAGTCACCTGGGAAGAAGGAAGCTCATTTGAGCAATCATCTAGATCAGATTAGCCTATGGCCATGTCTATGGGAGATTATCTAGATGGGTGATTAATGGATGGCTCAACAGTACTGGAGCAGCAGCATCCCTAACAAGTGAGCCTGGGTTGTTTAAGAAAGCTAGTTCAGTGTGACTCACAGAGCAAACCAGTAAGCAGCGTTCCTCCATCTTTTCTGCTCCGGGTTCCTGCTTTGAGTTCCGGCCTTGACTTCCCTTGGTGATGGACTGTAACCTGGGAGAGTAAGAGGAAATAAACACTGGCCTCTCATAAATTGTTTCCACTCATGGTTTTTCTTACAGCAACAGAAAAGAAACTAAAATAAATGTACTTTAAATACCAAAAAAGTAAAACAAGATAATAGCCGGGTATAGCACAAGCCCTTAATCCCAGTACTCAGGAAACAAAAACAGATGGATTCCTGTGAGTTCAGTCTGATCTATAGAGGGGGTTCTAGGACAGCCAAGACTACATAGAAAGACCCTGCCTCAAAATTAATTAGCTAATTAATTAATAGAAGATTGTCTGGATAGCCAGTCATGATGGTACATATGTAAAACCCAGTTACTCAAGAGGCTGAGGTAGGAGGATCTCAAGTTCAAGTCCCACGTGTACTACTAGACTGTGTCTCAAAGAAATCAAATAACCCGTAAAGCTCTTTTCTGCAAAGTGAAGCTGTAGTACCTGTTATTCCTTGGAAACTACAGCTCCCAGACCTCTCCTGGATTACCATCACCTGTGTGCGCGCTGGCCGCGCCCAGGTGAAGGTCATTCCTCCCAGATAACCTTGCGCCCCCCCCCCCCCGTTAAAAGCGAGGGTCCACGAGGTTTCGCTCTCTCTTGGCCTTTTTCCCCCCTACCCTTGTGTGTCTCGCACGTCCCACCCCTTATTGTGTTCCCCTCTCCCCATTAAAGTGCACCCACGTGGGAGCCGCGTGTCTCGTCTCTCCTTTACGTGCGCGTCTCGTCTATCTTGTGTTTGTCCACACACCCACGCCGCCGCCGTTTTAAAGGAATAATAGTACCTATTTCGTATGGTCCAAGGAGAATTCAAGGGCAAGCATGTGCGTACAGTGTGACCTAGAGTTAAGAGCCCACATCCTGGGAGGACTGTCCACATCATTGTTCCATTCCATCTGTCCTCTGAGACCTCTTGGTCTATGCAGGGAACCCTTCTCAGCAGAGAATTACCATCACCTTAGAAGATAGCCATAGTTCCCATGGGAAAACTTTTCAGACTAGACACTCCAAAAATCACATCCTTCGGACACTTTTAGTAAAGATAGCAACAAAACAGGAAACCAGGCAGGGCCTCCTCCCAAAGGACTCAGCCTACACTTGTCAGTCTTGGTGCCTACACTGTATTATGGGGCCCATGCATGGGACACTATAAATAACATTGCTCTCCCAGAACCTTGGATAGCATAGGAAGGACTGACTTACTTACTGGAAGGGCTGGATGGATGTATTATAAATCTGTAACCTTATCTGCAGGATGATTGTGTGATTCCAGAGCAACGTGGTCCACAGTAATGAAAGAACTGAAGAAACTCTATGTTCCAATATGTCTCCATTTGAAAGTGTTTTCTCTGAATGGTTTGAGCCCCTCCAAAGCATGTTAGGACCACAGGGGTAAATGAACACTGTGTGGAATAATCTTTTGTATACTGTAAGGATGTGTCTTTGCCAAGGCACCATCTGATTGTTAATAAAGAGCTGAATGGCCAGTAGCTAAGCAGGAAGAGGGTAGGCAGGACTTCTGGGCAAAGAGAAAGGAAGAGGAGATGAATCGAGGGGCAGGGGAGATGCCAGAGTTGATGGAGAGGAAGCAGGAGGAGAGGAAAAAGCCACGAGCCACATGGCAGCATATAAATACCAGAAATGGGTTCATTTAAGTTATAAGAACTACCTAGAATCAAGCCTAAGCTAAGTCTAAGCTTTCGTAATTAAAAATAAGTCTCTGTATCATGATGTGGGGGCTGGCAGTACAGAGAAAGACTTGCTACCGAACACATGGGGATACACCAGGAAAGGGACAACTGAATTGAGGGATGAAGTTGAGGGCATAGTGGTGAATACCTTTAATCCCAATAACTCTAGAGACAGAAGCAAGAGGCTCTCCAGGTCAGCAGGGTCACAGAGTGAGACTTCATCTTAAAAAATAAATAAAGTACAGTACACTGCCTGGACCTAAGAGAGAGCATAAATGATTCTTAGTTTATACAGATTTCCTAAAAGGTACAAGGCTCAACTCTGGGTGCTTCTGTTCATCTCTGGAGTAAAAGAGCTCATGTATACACAACCAGCAGATATTTATTTTTTAACAACTGATTTATATGATTAACCACTGCCCCCGTCTACTCACATTTAATCTCCCGAATACTCTAATTTCATCATTAAAATGAAAGCTGGCGTCTGTAAACTTTCATGTTTATGCTTGGAGCAATGCGCCTGCGCCTGGCTCACGGCATGAGGACAAGTGTTTTAAGCAACTGGCAATGTTGGGACACTGCAAAGGCATCAGGCGTGGCTTGTGTGGGTAAAACCTGAGCCTTGGCACATGGATCCCCAGAGCCTACATTTCGTGCATTTTTAATATCTTCCCTGATCTACTGCATTCCCAATCTTAGGAAGTCCAGAGCTCTTGTGGGCTTCCAGGCAGAGTCAGCACAAGGACACATGACCTAACCTCAACCGATCAGATAAACCTGCATGGCTTCCAACAGTGATCCAAAACGGAGTTCCAAAATGGAGTATGCGGTCAGAGCACTGTAAGAGCATCCATCGGTTAGGGATACAGCTTTTAATGCCTCTGGATCCTCACATACTGAATAGATAAAGCAACGAGACAGCAAAAGCAAACTACTATGGACAATTAAACACAACTAGACGTTTCTCTCAGTGCTATGGTTTAAATCTGCAATGCCCTTCCCAAAACTCACTGTTAAAGGCAGCATGGTCTCCAACCCGTGGTACCACTGGGAAATGGTGGAAACGTAAAGAGTGGGCCCTGCTGGTGAAAGCTAAGCCAATAGGAGCACGTCTTCAAAAGGAACTGTGGGGCTCTTTATCCCTTCCTTTATGTCTTCACTTCCTGGCCTCCATTAATCAGACAGTGTCTAGCCTGGCAGTGGTGGTATACGACTTTAATCCCAGCTCTTGGGAGGTTGAGGCAAGCAATCTCAGTGATCTGGAGGCTAGCCTGGTCTACAGAGTGAGCGCCAGGACAGTGAGAACTGTTAAACAGAAAAACCCTGTCTCAGAGGAAGCGGGGAAGCAGACAGCATCCTCTTCTTTGTGTTCTGTGGTGTTTAAATGAGAATGGCCCCCATTGGCTCATATATTTGAATGCTTAGTCCCCAGTTGAACTATTTGGGAACATTAGAAGGTGTGGCCTTGTTGGAGGAGGTATGTCACTGGGGGTGAGGCTTGAGACGATTCTAAAAGCCCACACCAGGCCCAAAGTCTCTTTCTCTTTGTCTGCTGCTTGTGGATCAGAATGGAAAGCTCTCAGCTACCAGGGAAATCCCAGTGCTCTTCTTGTCTCTACCACCATCCTGCCCAACACCTCTGGCTCAGCACCAGGGTAACTGGTGCCGGACCATGCCCTGCTTTTTATGTGGGTTCTAGGGATCTGAACTCAGGTCCTCAGGCTTGTGCAGCATGTGCCGTTACCTACTGAGTCATCTCCCCAGCCCCCAATCAACCTTTCTTATGTATAAACTGATTATCTCAGGACTTTGTTACAGTGGTGGAAAACTGACATATAGCTCCAAATCTAAGAGACCCAAGCTCATGAGAACACATTTCCAGTAAGTACTGATGGGCCTAGGAAAACCCCACTTTTGTGGATTCTAGAATCTGTAAATCAGGGTCTCCAGTTGATGGGAATAAGGGAATCCCACAAAACTGAGCAGCTGTATCTCTAAACACTACATGGGTGCAGTAGAAGATAAAGCTAGAGTATTCTGAATGGTTTCCTTCAGAAAGTTTTCTCATCGATTTTTAAAACGTTAACACAAAAATGTCAAGACCAAACCCATATGATACTATAAGAAGAAAATAATCTCTATAGCTCAGTAAAACCTTTCAAACAAGACAAGATCTGCATAAAGAAGAGGTTAAAACTCTAACATGTCAGGGATGGAAAGATGGCTTGGCAGTGAAAAGTACATACTGTTCTTGCAAGAGAACACAGGCTCGGTTTCCAGCCTGCAAGTCAGGAAGTTTACACCAGCTCCAGGGGAATCCCCATTCCTCACCACTGCAGCTACCTGCACTTATGTGATACACATACATCCACTCAGGTACACACAAATAAAGTAAATAAGTAGATCCTCTTTAAAACTTAAAAAATCATTTACCATTATAACCTATCTATAAAGAAAAAAAAGGTTAAAATATGTTTATACTCAGAGCATCAAAAATGCTAGGTAACTCATTCTGCCAATGATCTGTATTCTTGTCCCTGAAAGGTATATTTTAAGGTTAGAATATACAATAAATGTAATTCAGAATCAGGAAAAACTCAGAGACTAGATGATGAAATTCAAGAAATAGCTGGCTGTACGAGATGACATCATTCCAAAATGAAGAAAAACTAGAATGGGTAAGTACATACATATCGAAAAAGGAGCAGGGAAAAAATTCAAAGACATCTGAAAGAAAAGCTAAACTAGACATGAGACAAAGGGACAAACACTGAAGATAGGCAGAGAAGATCCAACAGTTGGGATGACAGAAATCCTTAAGAAGAAAGACCAAAGAAGTTGAAAAAGGCTCTTTGATGGGGTAATTCAAGAGAAGTCAGATGACAAGCGCCAAGGTTTATGCCAGCAATAACACGGGGGGGGGGGGGGGGGGGGCTGGAGAGACAGCTCAGCAGTTAAGAGCACATTCTGCTCTTTCAGAGGACTGAGTTTAGTTCCCAGCACCTACATCAGGAGGCTCACAACGGCTTGTAACTCCGGCCCCAGACAATCTGATACACTCTCTTGGCATTTATGAGTATACTAACATACTCTTGTGCACACACACACATACATGCATGCGAAAAAACACCCACAGACACACACACACTGTCCCCTGTTGAGATCTAGAAACAATTACCAAACCCAAAAGCTGTTAATGGTCTGATACCAGCACTGGGGAGGCAGAGATAAGATCCCTAGGTCTGACTGCCCAGCCAGTCTGGTGGGATCAGTGAGATCCATGTTCGCTAAGAGACCCTGTCT